CTCTCTCTCCCTCTCTCTCTCTCTCTGAAACCTCTTCTCAGTCTCTGCTACTATGAGGATCACAACCCTGGATACATCCGCCTCGTACACATGCTGCACTACTACTACTACTGTGCGGCTTGGGTTGCCTGTCTTCCACAGCACAGCGCTGCCCAGCAGGGATCCCTAGCGCCCTGCCACTCGCAATAGCGAACAAGCACCAGCAACGCTTCCACTTTCTTGAGAATGAGGAATCTCTTGAATGAGGCTGGGGTGGTCTTCTTATTGACTTGAACTTGGCCTGGACTTCACTCAGCCTCTGCTGGACTTGGCCTGGGCCTGATTTGACTTGGTACTGGTCGCCCGCGGCCTGTTTTGCTTTGGGAATATTGTGGCTCAGTACCTTCCAGACTTCTCTTGGAGTGCTGCTGCATTTTGACTCTGGGACTGGACTTGAGGGCCGGGAACCGGTTGAATTTTGACCTTTGTGGCCTGAGGGTACCCGACTTGACACTTTTCTGTTCTGGCCGTCCGGGCCTTTCCCTGACTTGGGGACCTTGACCCTGAGACTCAAATTTGGGGTCTGCAATGTGAAAAAGCCTTTCAATGTCGAAGACCGAAGAGATTGTCTGCAGGTACTGTTTGGGTGGTGGCCACTTAGAGAGACAGATGAAGTGATGGGTTAGCTCATGAACAGATTGCCACTTTGAGTTTTAATTTTTAACTGACTGATTAGGCTCACACCTCTTCCTCTTCCATCCTGTCGTTTTTTTTTTTTTTTGCCTGTTGTACTTCAACTGCGGTCCACGGTGCAGGTGCTTGCAAAATCGTCAAAAATGATTCCTGGTAAGTCTCACGAGAATGGGAAAAACATGGAGGATAATTTAGTCAGGAGTCTTGGCACAGAACTCTGTGTTTTGTCTTTTGTTCGGTCCTTTCTGTTGCATCTATTACAATTGTTTGTTCCTCCCGTCCCTCCCCCCCCCCCCCACCCCCTCCCCCGCCCCCTCCACAACCCCCGCCCAGTGTTTCCGTCTCTTCTTTATCTCCTCCTTTTTCCCTTTGTTGTCTCTGTTTTGTTTTGTCCTTTTGCAAGCTTTTTTTCATTTATCTTTGGAACTTTTTCAAATTATTTCTTTGATTTTTCTTTTATTTCCTGACCTGCTGCGGTGTGGAATGGCTGCTGTTGCACCTCACGATTTGTGATGTATTATTTTGGACAGATCCAAAAGAACCTGGTGTGTTGAGCAATGCCCAGCCTCCGAGGTTCCCCTCCGGTTATCTACTTTTTCTGTTTGTCGGTGCTGGTTTGTTTTGTCTTTAGATCTTTTTCAAGCTTTCTGTTCATTTATCTTTAGATCTTTTTCAAGCTGTTTTTTTTTTTTTTTTTGGATTTTTCTTTTATTTCCGGGCCTGCTGCAGTGTGGAGTGGCTGCTGTTGCACCTCAGGATTTGTGATGTACTAGTTTGGATAGCTCTAAAACAACCCAGTTTATTGAGCAATGCCCAGCCGCCAACGTTCGGCTCCAGATGGAAGCAGCCTGTGTTCGTATCTCAGTCAACAAGGAACACGAGAAAACCTTGTGGCGGATATGTAAATACTAAATAGATAAAGCTGAAGCACGCCCGAGTTTAGCTGGCTATGGCTTTGCAGGTGCTGCTTTTGCGCCTTCCATTTCACTGCATGAATTTGGGTACTTGGGAAAGAGGCTCCGTCAATTAATTTATCTATGACATTTTTTTGGGTGCCTCAAAGTTCGCACTGAGTTGAGCTTTGTTGTGGTGATGTCAACAGTGTCTAGGGGTGGAGGGGGTGTAATGATGGGCAGAGGAGTTTACTCAGTTAGGTGTGTTCAGTGAGTTCTGATTTGGGGTGTTTGTTTTTTTCCTTTGACTTGACCGCGGGATTTCGTTGGCAGTGATGATCATTGGTGCCCTTATTTATGGAGTGAAGTACAGAATATCTGAGTACATATGCACGCTTCTGGTGGCGGGAGGCGTTTCAGTGTTTGCTTTGTACAAGGTAAGTGAGAAAGCGTCTCTCTGCAAGCCATCTCTTCCTGTTCTTCTGGACGGTCTGGGAAGAAAAGTTTTGGAATTTGAACTTGTGGGGGCGCAGCGTTGACTGGACTGTTGCTGCCGCTTGGCGGCCTGTTTAACTGGTGACCACGCGAAGTGGGGCACGCAACCCGTGCGTTGCAGTATCTGGCCCGGGGGGTGATAAGCGTACCTGATGGATGACTTTCTTGAAGTTTCTTCCCTTACAGTCAATGTCGATTGTCTTGGAACCCCTTTGCTTCGTAGAAGTCAGGCAAGAAAGCAATTCTGTTGAAGGGATTCTGTGAGCTAAGCCCTCATGATGTGCGCTTGGGTTTAATCGAGTGTCCGTATAGCGGGTCATGGGTGAGTAATACTGAATATCGATGCTGGGATGGGGTGAGGTGGGGTGGGGTGAAGTGTTTCATAAGGGGCCTCGCTTTCTCACCAGGTCTCTTTACCTATCGGTTAAGTGATCGACCTCTTTGGTCGCAGGTTACATGTTCGATTCCCGGCGAGTTGCTCTTGGACGTCCAAGCAAATCCAAAATATTCCGCTAAGGGCTTGAGCTAAGCCGTCATGATGTGCGCTTGGGTTTAGTCGAGTGTCCGTATAGCGGGTCATGGGTGAATAATAATACTGGATATCGATGCCGGGGTGGGGTGAGGTGGGGTGGGGTGAAGTGTTTCATAAGGGGTCTCACTTTCTCTCCAGGTCTCTTTACCTATCGGTTAAGTGATCGACCTCTTTGGTCACAGGTTACAGGTTCGATTCCCGACGAGTTGATCTTGGACGTCCAAGCAAATCCAAAATATTCCGCTAAGGGCTTCGTTTCCGTGCGAGCTCGCTTTACCTGTTGCTGAAGTGATGGAACACTTTGGTGGGAGGTCAAAGGTTCGATTCCTGGCGAGTTGTTGGGCTTCCAAGCAAATCCACCCCTTATTCTGGCTGTCCTTTGAAAAATGGGTTTGAAATTTGAATTCTTAGGCTGTATAGACATTTGTGGTTGGACTCTTTCTTCTCTTACAGTTAATGATGTCCATTGTGTTGGTGGTTGCATGGTAACAAATGGTCGTCTGAAATCCTGGATGAAGGTCGGGGAGCAGGAACTACAACACTTGACGAAACGGAATTATCAGCATTTTGTGGCGCGCTGTCTTCCTTGATAAATTTGTGCCTCAGTTGCTGTTCGCTTCCCCTTTTCTTTTTTCTTTCAAACCACCACTCCTTTCAGGCTGGAGAGTGAAGTCGTAAATATAACCTATACCACATTCTTCGGAGGCCAGCGGAGGTCAGGCGCCACCAAACGAAAAAGGCTGGCGACGCCAGCCAAAACAAAACAAAAAAGGCGGCGCTGGCGCTGGCACTTCGGCCAAATCTTGGCGCATTTCAAATCCACCTTGGCAAAAGGACGCTCGGATGTAGTCGTGGTCTAAACCACCAGCTCACACAAACCTAAGTGGTTCTCTTACCGGAAGAGCACTTGGCTTCGGGCCTGGGCCGGTAGTGAAAGTGGCAGGCGACTTTGAAAAGCCGCAATTGCATGCTCGCGAGTCCTGGAAGGTTAGCTTCGTCAACTTAGACTTGTGTGAACTGGTGGTTTAAAAAGGGTGACAGGCACTGGCAGCCATGAGAGCTGACCTGTCTGAGGTAATTCCGAAAGCTGTTCATGTAGTGCCACCTGGATTCGAGCGCAGGTCTGCATTTCAACAGTTTATCGGTGTACCAACGGAGCTAGGCGAGCTGGTGCCCGCTGGTTTAATTTTTGTGCTCACGTAGCTGCTGACTAACAAATCAAGAGAGTGATTTCTATTGGATCAACAGACAATGACTTCTATTGGACTTGAAACGGGTGGCGAATGAAAGTTACTTCTTGTTGCGCACTCACATTTGTCCAATTGTTGCCGGCGGATCAATTCTGTTGGGAGTTTTGTGGCCTCCTGGCTGAGAATGGAGAATAGCTGCTCTTTCATGGCCTCGACGCATTGCGCGTGAAGCGGTGTAATTGTTGACTAATAGACGAAGAGGCATACTGATTTCTATTGGAGTTGCAATGGGTGACGAACAAAAGACACCTCTTGTTACACACTCACATCTGTCTCATCGGGGGTTCTGTCACCTCTCTTGACCGACTGACGGAAGGAGAATAACCACTCTTTTAGGGCCTTTATACACTACTCACGAAACAGAAAATAAAATGAGTGTCTTCCCACAGGTGGAACAATATGCCTGGTACTGATCGTAGTAAGGTATGTATGTTGCTAGCTTCTTTGGGAAGCGAATAGTGTGGTGAGGCCATTAATCTTTGTGATTACGCTCGCGGACAGTTTGGCACATCATGAGGGTCCTTGAGCCTTTGTTTAATCCGTGAAACGACGAGAGATGACGGTTCAGGAACTCAGTTCAGATTCTTCAAAGGTGATTCTTGGTGTCCCCGACTTGGGATGGAAGTGTGCAAGCAACTACTGGCTGTTGGATTGCGAAATGCCTGGAGGGTTGGTGGCATTTTGCTGTTTCGACCCCGGCTTTTCCACTTCCATAGAAGGAATGCCGGCCATGATGGCCATAACACTGCCGTATAAAGCATGCTACTGTAAGATGCATAACCTTTTCAGTGCTATAGGCCTCTAGGATATGAATAACAGCAAGTGAGAGAGCGTGAGAGAGGATGGGGGCCATGCGGGAGAGGGAAGACCTCCCACCTCTGATATCTATATCTTTGTGCCATCCTTCGGTGTATTCGTGGAACTTCTGTTGGATGCGCTGCATTTTTCTTCTGTGTCTTTCAAAACATTATGTTGTGTCCTCTGTATCACTTTCAGGTTGAGGGTTCAAATCCTTTTTTCAGTTCGTCAGCTTCGCAAGAAGCAGTTCGGAAATGGCCTTTAGCGCTTTCCTTTTCTTTGCCCGTTTTTTTTCCTTTTTCCTTTGCTTTCCACTTCTTGTCTTGGTGGGTGTCAGTGAAAGGACAACGTTTGACACACCGGTAGGGTAACCTACTGGTAGACCCTATGTTCCTAAAAGTTCTGCTGTGTCCTATGTTGGGCAGAAGAGACATGTGGGATCCTCCCTGCTTCATCCTCCTGGATTTTGCTGTTCCCTTTCTTTTTCTTCATCCTTCAGCTGTAATGCTAATAATTGATTTTGTTTGTCACTCGAGAATCTGCAGGGCTCTGCCAAAGCTCTGAGCAAGCTGGCCAAGCCAAATGCTCCTTTGGGTTATGCGCTTTGCTTTCTAAACCTTGCTCTTGACGGCTTCACAAATGCTACCCAAGATTCAATTAAAAAGAGGTGAATTGCTACTTCCCGTTCTTTTCCTAGGCCTCTCTCTCTCTCTCTCTCTCTCTCTCTCTCTCTCTCTCTCTCTCTCTCTCTCTCTCTCTCTCT